AAGAACCTAACCGGGCACACGAGCGCGTGCGCAGCACGCGCTCGTGTCTACGAAATGTATAGTGCCGCCGGGCGGGGGGCGGGGGGTGCGGCGGGGGGCGGGGGGCGGGCGCGGGGTGCGGGGGGGCGGGGTGGTGCTGCAGAGGGCGGGTCTCAGCTTCTGAAATTGTTTATATCCGTTTTTGTAGAAATAATCATATTTAGTGATACGTTTTTCACCGGTATATTAAAATAGATAATCGCGACAATCCCCAACACGAGAATATGAGTTGTTAACTTTGAGGCTAGATGGCGCCGTGTGAAATTGTCCAAAGATATTTATTTATTATTTATATTTTTCTATGAAACGTACGATGTTACTGAATTTTTAATACCGCCACGAAATTATTTCGAAATTAAAATAAATATTTTATTAATTTGTTGATAAAATATTAATTTTTACGAGATACAGTATAAACACAACAAAAAAAATTAAGTCTAAGGTCTCTAGCTAACCGCTCCCACACAAACGATAACGACATGCAAACATGCATATTAAATTAATATAATGTAAAAGTTCTTTATTTATAACTAGTCTATGAAATAGACTAGTTATAAATATTTAAGAAAAAAAAAAAAGGCTTATAACATAAATATAAATAAGTTTGCTACGTTGCGCATCTTTTAGAGACACCGACTTGTTCAATCATTTAGTAAAATAATAAATAGCAAAGCGGAGGAGAACGGGGCGGAGCGGAGAAGTGTTTTGAATAACCAATGAGATTTCATTATATCCACTTCTCACCGCGCCGCGTCGCCGCCACTGTCAAATTTTACAGAAAAAAATTGAATAAACTAAAGCGGAGCTGCCGCTATAGTGGAAACCATGCCAAAAAGTGCACAATACAGGGACGCTATAACATACATTATTCATTATTACAATTAAATCTACAATCATGAAAAAAAACAGAACTATCGATAATGTTCCGACAATCACGATAATCTTATCATTCCAAGTCCAGCCCGGTAGTCATTAAATTTACATTTGCATAGTTACCAAGTTTTTGTCTAACATGTGTAGCATTATTACGTTACATATTATGATTTATATTGATAACTAGCTTTCCGCCCGCGGCTTCGCCCGCGTGGAATTTTGTCTGTCACAGAAAAACTTTATCGCGCGCGTCCCTGTTTCAAAAACCGGGATAAAAACTATCCTATGTCCTTTCCCGGGACTCAAACTATCGCTATGCCAAATTTCATCAAAATCGGTTCAGTGGTTTTGGCGTGAAAGAGAGACAGACAGAGTTACTTTCGCATTTATAAAATTGTGCAAATAAATATTTGAATTTGAATTTAGTATAGATAAATGTAACAGTGGTTTTTAAAAGCCTACTTGTAAAAATAAAATGAATTTTATTATTATTGAGTAACAATATACTTACAATCGATCCTTCTAGAAGCAAGCTGCAGTTATATCAAACTCCACGGCGACAGAGTTCCGGCCCGCGGCGATTCCGAAGTCGGTCGAGTCGCTGCAGACGATTCCGCTACTTTTTGCACTGGGCTCCGTCCTTTTGGCAGTTCATTTCCGACCTGAAATTGAGAAAATTAAAATTAGCTTGGTAAGTACATATTATTATTAAACTTGAAATTACTTAAAACTGAAATTGTGTAAATCATAATTGTCTCATTTGTGCATACGACAGGGAACATATTTAAGAATTTTATTTTATTTTATTCGGAAAACCAACAGCAATACAATACAAATAATGGGACCTTAAATTATGTATCTGCTTAGCCATTTATAGGTAATCGCAAATGGAAGTTAAGATGCAAATAGACCATAATGCCATAGCAGACATTTATATAATTTACAAGTGAAAACTTAACAGAATATTTTGTTTAAAGCACAAACTTCTACGTATATTACTAGACAAGTTGTGATTCCTGAGCAATTTATTGATACTCGGTTTCGATTATTAGTTAAATATGTCTTCTACTATGTCTTTAACTGAATGAAAATTATACATGAGTAATAAAATTTTGCATGCCGAAAGGCCAACAAATACTCTAAACCCACGTTCGCAAATAAAAATGATTATTGATTTTATTTGATTTGAGAATGCATGTGAGCGTGGGAAGAGCAGATGCGCCGCGAAGTTTTCGTCTGGCAAATAACTAAGATTCACATTATCGTTTAACGTTCATATTTTGAAAGTTAAGTTTATTTGGGGTAACCGACAAAGACACGCTCGTGCTGTGACAAAATTTTAATTTTAAAGCAGCGGCATATATTTGTCTTCAATAAGTAGCAGAAGATAGGTACATGTATAGATTAGCACGCTGTTATTTGAAAAATGTTGGAAACTCGTTTATTACAACATGCATAAATACGTTACGAGGACATTTTACATAAGGCTATAGAAGCACCAAAATAAAACAATACAAATATAGCATCAATAGCCCAACGCGAACGGCGAAAGGGACGGTGGCTGACTCGAGATCCTATTGTGCTGAACCCGCTTGTAACACATGTAGGTATACTTAGCTCACGTCACTCATAAAAATGTAAAAATGTATAAAATGTAAGTTTCTCAGTAAGTGAATGAATTGTTCTTATGAGAAATAAAGTGTCTTTAACCATTACCACGAGGTTTTCACTGTATTATTAGTAATATGGTAATAGTCCAACAGAAGTGACTTAAGAACACAAAAAAAAAACAAGACAAAACATCTGATTATGACCCATGTCGATTGCAGATAAAAAAGGAGAAAAAAAATTGAACCATAAAAATAAAATGTATTACCCACCTACAGTACACGCATTTGTTGGAGGTAGTATAGCGGCACGGGCACGCGCAGCACCACGCCGCGCCGAGGGCCAGTTGCGCGGAGCGTTTGAAGATGTCGTCAGCCAACAAAAAACAAAACAGGTTAATATTCACTCGGTTTAGGTGTTTAGCGGCGGGTGCACCGAGCGAGCGACGTGCGCTCCGCGTCGTGTTCCGATTCGGACTGGTTCGTAAGAGATGCGGCGGCGCGCGTTCGGCAACGTTCGCCGAGCGCTCGGCGCGAACAATGGACGATCGCCGTGACATCGTAACCGTCACCCGCAGATGACGACTGCAACGTGCTGCGATAGCTTTGTACTATCCGTTCGCTTTAAGTTTGCCGCTGGCGATATGACGTCACTCGAAGGGAAGCGTCTATAATTACTAAACTATAAATATTTATTATTATTGATAGGAATTGTGTATTTGCATAAAATAAGAGACATTAATTGCGTTCAATCGTTAACTAATTGCGTTTTATCGCGGTCGGGGGAGGGGACGCGCATTCCGCGGACCGGCAAACTTAGCGCGAACGGGTAGTACGGATGCGCAATAGATTTGCGAAGCTAGGTGCGATTCGAATCGTTGTCGTCGCACGCGTGTAAATACCTACGTTTATTAAAACATAATTTAAGTATTCACACCGACAATGATCACGTCAAAGGCATCAATCGTAAGGTTATTGAAATAATGCATACCTGAAATCCATCGGAGCGCAAAGGGCGAACACCGAAAAAATGAAACGCAGCGGTCTTAATGTATGCGTATATTAATCAGTAGGTATTATGTACACGGGCGGGGGCGGGCGGGGGCGGGGTCAGAGCGCGGCGAGGGCTCGCGCGCGCGGCGCGGGCGGCGGCAGCGGCGGCAGGTGCGGCGGCGGGTCGGGCTCGTCCAGGTCCAGCGCCGCGTCGATCATGGTGGTGTCGTGCAGCAGCCGCAACCGCGACGCGCTCAGGCCGGCCGGGCCCGGCGCCGGCTCGGGCTCCAGGCTGCGGTTGAGGTAGGCGTGGCGCGCCGGCGCCGGCTCGCCCGCCTCGAACGGGCTCGCGGGGCCGCCGGCCGTCGGCGCGGCGCCTGCGAAGAAGAATGAATCTCTTCAGGTTTCGTTCCTTGATCCGTCTCGTTCGCGCGCGTTCCGAGCGGAGAGAAGGATGTTACCGTCTCTCCCGTCGAGCTCCCGGCGCGGCTGGGCGGCGAGCGGCGCGGCGGGCGGCGCGGCGGGCAGGGCGGCGGGCGCGTGCAGGGCGCGCGCGAAGTGCGCGGGCAGCTCGTCCTTCACGTCGATCGTGAACACGCCGCGACTGCGAATGGAGATATTATACACGCTGGTGAGATACGTGGATCGGCGTCGCAAAAGATATTCACTCGTAGATAATAATGTGAGCGAGATAATAAGAGGGAAAACCCCAAATCTATATATATAAAAATGAAACCCGTTTCGCGTTGTCACGGCATCACGTGTGAACGGCTGAACCGATTTCGATAATTCTTTTTTTTAAATGTTTGTGGAAGTCCAAGGATGGTTCTTACGGAAAAAAATATTAAGAAAATCTCTACGCTAAGGCGGTACGAAGTTCGCCGGGTCAGCTAGTTCATAATAAATGTAATATTTTATAAGGCAAAGCGTGTCACCGATCGATGAGGCTGGGCGCCAGCGGGCCGCACAGCACGTGCCAGCAGTTGGCGCAGGCGTTGCCGCGCGAGTACGGGTTGGGGTTGGACACGCCGCGCCGCGTCGAGAACGAGCCCTTGATCTGAAAGCAGTCGTCGGGTGAGCCGGGTGCGAGGCGCGAGAGACGGGACGGGCGGGCGACGGCGACACTCACGTCCTCGTTGGTGGTCTGGTCGGTGGAGGCCAGGTAGGTGTGGAAGCCGGCCAGCCCGAGCACGGACCACACGGACAGGAAGCAGACGGCGGCCACGACGGCCGAGGCGGGCGACGCGCGCAGCGCCGCGCCCAGCCCCGCGCCGCGCGCCGCCAGCGCCAGGTGCGTCACGGCGCACGCGAACACGAACACCGCCAGGAACGACAGCGACACCACGAACGTGTAGAAGTAGCGGTAGTTGCGCTTGCCCACGCAGTTGCCCACCCACGGGCAGTGGTGGTCGAAGCGGTCCACGCAGTTGTCGCACAGCGAGCAGTGCGAGGCGCGCGGCGGGCGGAACATCTTGCACGTGAAGCAGTACTTGAGCTTGACGGGCCGGCCGCGCACCAGCACCTCGCGCGCGCGCGGCGGCGNGCCCGCCTCGAGCGCCGCGGCCTCGGCCGGCGCGGCGCGCGGGATGATGCCGGGGTCGGACAGCGCCGTGCGCAGCAGCGCGGCCAGCGTGAAGGCGCACAGCGCGGCGCCCACGGCCGGCACGGCGGGCGACACGCGCGCCGCCAGGAAGGGGCAGTCGAAGGCGAAGTGCAGCGCGCACGTGCCGCAGATGAGCGCCAGCGTGAGCGCGAACACGCCGGGGTGCGGCGCCGTCATGAGGCGCCCGTCGCACCAGAAGCGGTTGCGGCCCGCGAACACCTCCCACTTGCGCGTCACGCGCCGCGACGCCATCGCGGCATCACCGGCCGCCGCCCCGCCGCCTGCGGCCCGAACCAAACTTATTATGAATCGAACCTGTGTACGACGAAAGAACCAGCATTCAAATTTTCCAAGATTTTTATTAATTTAAGGGAAATAATTTGTAACAGTAATTTTGCATTCGGTTGTCTCCAGAGTCCGAAGATCTCGACATCAAAAGGCGCAAATATGTCATTAGCACTTGCTAATAGTCACTTGACTTATATTTGCAATGTTTAGCTAGTTTTGCCAACTCAGCTGCAGCCCCAGCTTTAACAATTGATTCCCTAAGGTGGGAAGGCGCTAAAGTATCGACACATGTAGAGTCCCAAACTAAAGCCAGTCCCTGTTCCCGAGAAGCCAGAGTGAGACCATCAGGTCTCTTGCCATCATTACGGACCAATCCACGTAGTTCTAACGTGGAAGGAATGTTGATGCTGGCAAGGGCTCTCCTGATGACATCGTTGAGGGCAGGGTGTCAGGTGTCACATTTGACCGTGCACAAGAATTGACCATCTATTGTGTCTGGATTTGTGGCTCTCGAAGGGTTAACATCCTTCCATATACAGGGTGACTGGAACTGAACCCGCCATAGCTAATACGCGTATAGAGGAGGTCATTTGCTAATTATTGAACCCTACTTTCTATGACTAAAGTTTTATGGTTTAGGAGATATGTCAATTTTTATACGTTTTTCAGATTTTTCCGAAATTTGACCTAAAAACTGCTTAAATTTTTTTTCTCGCATGATTTTAACCGATTTTTTTATTTGATACTAATATCGAATAAACCTTTAGTCAAATAAAATAAATTTCAGATCTAGATAATGATTCAATAACTAGTTACGAGCCGTCAAAGTTCAACAAAAGTACAAACCACGATAAAAAATTCAAGTTCGAATTCGATTTAAAAAAAACTAATGGTGCTAATGGATTGCCAATGATCTTAAAAATATCTCTACCTTCTCTTCTTTCCAATGATATATCACACGTAGTAATTAGTTATTGAAATTGATTACAAATTCAAAGTTTATGGAAGAAAATGGAGTAATAATACGAAAATTATCCATACAAAGTTTCTTCAAACATCTCATATTTTCTGCTATACTTTTCATAACTATTTTTGTGTGTTTTTTGAAAAATGAATTTAAAAACAATAATCAAATTATGATGAAAAGAGTTTAAAAAAATTCAAAGTAAACTTTGTATGGATAATTTTTGTACTATTACTCCATTTTCTTCCATAAACTTTGAATTTTTGACAAATTTCAATATCTAATTACAACGTGTGATATATCATTGGAAAGAAGAGAAGCTAGAGATATTTTTAAGATCATTGGCAATCCATTATCATCATTAATTTTTGTTTCAATCGAATTCGAAGTAGAATTTTTTATAGTGGTTTGTACTTTTGTTACACTTTGGCGGCTCGTAACTAGCTATTCAATCATTATTTGGATCCGAAATTTATTTTATTTGAATAAAGACATATTCGATATTAATATCAAATAAAAAAAACTGTTGAAATCACGCGAGAAAAAAAATTGAAGCAGTTTTTAGGTCAAATTTCGGAAAAATCTGAAAAAAGTATAAAAATTGACATATCTCCTAAACTATAAAACTTTAGGCATAGAAAGTAAGGTTCAATAATTAGCAAATGACCTCCTCTATACGCGTATTAGCTATGGCGGGTTCAGTTCCAGTCACCCTGTATAAGTGTAGCTACATTTATTTTTATTACATTTCATAAAACACATCCTACAATCTCAGAACATAAATGATAATAATACTGATACACCAATCTAAAGGAAGGGGCATATCAAGTTTTTTTGGAGATAAGAATAATCTAAAGATAAATGCATAAACCTAATGGTACCTACTATTACTACTACAATCATCTATTAATAATCAATCATATTGAGATTCTGAAGTCACATTATTAAGAAAGAGCAACAAGTTAAATTTTTGATTGCAAACAAGAACAATAAGTACAACAAGAGAGGTAATGGTCAGGTTCAGCTCACAATGACAGTGGGCTGAGGCGAACTGGTACTCACTGGCTCGACGCAAGCGGAGAGCAGGCAGGCCTCTGGAGGCGCTGGGCGGAGCGCTGGAGGCTGCGACCGAGGTCTACACTCGGAGCTGTCCTTGGGCACGCTCGCTCGCACACTGCTCTACACTACGCTCAATTAACTTCGTCTATAACAAACGTCCGACAGTACTCCCTAATATTCAAAAATTCAATGAAATACTTAAGAGATAACTTCTCAAGATGAGAACTACACTTTTCAACTAAACGTGTGGCTGGAAATATTACAGAAATAAATATATACCACACTGTAAATGGCTTGGCTGGTGTTCGAAATTGTGTTAAATCGATCGTAAAAACACTTAAATCCAAATAAACATAAAATAATCTAAAAACAAAGTGCTAAAAACTTTCTATCGTTGTTCCATTAATCACATACAGATAATAAAACTTGCTGTATGTCATCTCATTGACGTATGACAGCTAAACAGGAAATCATGTGACTCATAGATATGGATAGAATAGATACAGCAAGTTGCTCATCAAAGCGTGCCATTCCGATATGTCCAAATGGACAAGTGATTTAGACGCGCTGTTATTTTAAAATCGATTTGCTCAATCGTTATCGAGTTGCTTAGAAAATCCTATCTATCTTCAAAATCACCTGACCCAGCGCACAGTATGTTATGAGACTGTATAATCGGACATTCTCATTTATTTGATGAACCGTATAGAGCTCAGTTATACAAACATGATGGTAAAACTCCCGTTTGAAAATTCCAAGTAGTTTTCGCGGTATACAAATTCAAAGTTACCTATTTTTTACTTCAAATTTATGCAAAAATATTCTCACTCGTTAACTAATAACATTTAATTCAGAATTGTTATAATACTTCATAGAGCTCTTAAAACTACACGTAATAAGCGTATTAAGTGCTTCGTAAACGCATTCAGTTAATTAGGAAAAATGATTTTAGTGATTTTTGTTCTTATTTTTTTTCTCAATTATACCTTAATATATGCAAACATTTTTAATTGCAAGATATAGTCTGATATTTAATCTAATTGTATAAAAAAATCAGCTTTAAATTCCGTGATATATTTGAGGAAAATCAAACTGAAAATATGCGCCATATAGAATTGTAAATTTCCCATCACTTTAAATAGCAATATTTCTTTTGGATGTTTAAATATCATCAGCTCGATTGTACCAAATTATTGTATTGACATTCGATTTACATAGGTTATACATATAAAAGCACTGGGTCTCTATCAGAAGGAACTCTAGGGGTGGAATCTCCATTGGCGTGGGTTAACGGGCAAAGAGATAATATCTTGGATGGTTGACAACCACTTTTCCTACAATTTAACGTTCCACCAAACTCAACACGCTTTCAAAGATAACCTCGCAGCCGCCTGCTCACACTTGACATGACACAACTGATTGACAGTTATCTTTTTCTGCGCATCAGTCGGGTGTTACGTTTAGGAATCACAAACCTTCCGCTCTACAGATTTATACAGATAACATAATATTAAGATTGGTACTATTAATCATCAATAATAATTGCAGCATCTGTGTCCGGCGCCGACACATACATAGGTTTACATACAACGATTTACAAATCGATGAGAAAATTAATAAAGGTAGGATAAATTCGACTTCCTAGATTTGTTTACATACTTTTTTAGTTAGTTACTTACATACAACTTAAGTTAATATAAGAGTGTTAAAAAAGAAAAAAAAACTCGACTTGAGAACCTCTTCCTTTTTTTTAAGTCGGTTAAAAACAATGTGAATGTGACTTTTTAGAACCTTCAACACGATGCACATAACAGGCGGGATTTGAAACTTTTTAGAAATGAATTATTCCTTCCAAAATTGTCGACCCTAGACGTTTAAAAATTTTATTAAGACGTTTTATGTTTTTTCTCAAATATATCACGGAGTTTAAAGTTGATTTTATTAATACAATTAGATTAAATATCAGACTATATCTTGCAATTAAAAATGTTTGCATATATTAAGGTATAATTGAGAAAAAAAATAAAAACAAAAATCACTAAAATCATTTTTCCTAATTAACTGAATGCGTTTACGAAGCACTTAATACGCTTATTACGTGTAGTTTTAAGAGCTCTATGAAGTATTATAACAATTCTGAATTAAATGTTATTAGTTAACAAGTGAGAATATTTTTGCATAATTTTCAAGTAAAAAAATAGGTAACTTTGAATTTTTATACCACGAAAACTACGTGGAATTTTCAAACGGGAGTTTTACTATCATGTTTGTATGACTGAGCTCTATAAGTTTCATCAAATCAATGAGAATGTCCGATTATACAGTCCCATAACACACTGTGCAGCGTTATGAAACAAATCATACTGGCAAAACAATATGCGTTATTATTTTATGTGTATTAAAAATAAAAAGCTTAAATTAATTGAGTCTTTATTTTAAAAAACTAGGTCAGGCATCTTTGAAGACATTGAAGACTTTATAAAATTATAACTGACCCTTTTCTTTGCGGTCCACTGTATATGGTTTGGTATATTAACCAAGATAAGTAATTTAAAATATGGAATTATGAATTTACTTTGATATAGGTACATTAAGCACATTAAAAATATTATTAGCAAATTAATTAACTAATTAATACATTATAGAATGACATTTATTGCGCTTAAGCTTGCAAAATTATTTTAATGTAGTTTGTCAAGCTATAAATTTTACAAAATATCATTTTTGTCCCACCCATCAGCACGTCAAAAAATTTGTATGAAGACTAGCGTGCCCAGCGTGCCAGTTTTTTAACGTCATTAGTGTCATTTTAGCGAAATTTAGTAGTTGCCGCATCGTAAAAATAATCGTATCATCGTACTGCAATCGCAAAGTCATCAGGTGGTAACGTGCGGTGCGTCTCGATTTCACAAATGATATTTTGTAAAATTTATAGCTAGACTGACTGTGGATTAAAATAATTTTGTAAGCGTAAGCGCATTAAGCGTTATTCTATAATGTTAATTAAATAAATTGTAATTAATTTGTTATAATATTATATTAATGATTTTATAGGTATGCCCGCCCGGTCCATAGTTTATACATCATTGGTCAGCCAGCAGTGCCAGCGAGCCAGCGACTGTCCCTAGTGTCACTTGTCAATTGGTAATGTCAGAGTTGTCAAACTAAATTACCTACCTTGACATTATTCTTCTTTCGAGTCGTGTCTGTATGGAAATAGTACGTCTTTCTTTCATATTTTTGAAGTGATAATTCATTAATGTACATGTAGTGGTTTTTATTGTGTCTGAATGAATGCACACTCAAACAGAATTAAATTAAAACCTAGAATGCCTCCGCGGACTGGAGACCGAGAGAGAGGAATATGACACGTCTCACGTCCAACGAGCCGCAGCGAGAGCGATGCGACGGTGACCGGACTGACCGGAAATAGAAGAAGTCCGCAAGTCGCGATGGGGCTGCAGGGCTCGCGGCGCGAGGCGCTGGCGGTGGCGGCGCTGTGCGCGGCGTGGTACGCCGTGAGCTCGGCCAGCAACGTGCTGGGCAAGCTGGTGCTCACAGACTTCCCGTTCCCCATGACCGTCACCATGGCGCAGCTGCTGGCCATCGTGCTGCTGAGCGCGCCGGCCTTCGGCGCCGCCGGCGTGCGGCGCGAGACCGACTTCCCGCGCGCCTACTACTGGCGCACGCTCGTGCCGCTCGCCTTCGCCAAGTTCCTCACCACCGTCTGCTCGCAGGTCTCCATTTGGAAAGTTCCAATATCTTACGCGCACACGGGTAAGCTCTCGACAGTCGACCGAAGTCCGATCAGATGTCTCACCAATGAGGCTTTTCGCTATTTTATTTCGCACGATATTATTATTATTCTGTTACGGTCGTACGACATGAATATGATGATCGCTCGACATCCGGCGATTCTGTACTTTCACAAGCCTTCATGTTTTCTCGTTTAAACAATTCGTAGCCCGGTAGCCTCACAGTGACCGCGGGTGTGTGTGCGCAGTGAAGGCGACGACGCCGCTGTGGACGGCGGCGCTGGCGCGGCTGCTGTTCGGCGAGCGGCAGCCGCGCGCGGTGCAGGCGGCGCTGCTGCTGATCGCGGCGGGCGTGGGCGTGGCGTCGGCCACGGAGCTGCACTTCGACGCGCTGGGGCTGGGCGCCGCGCTGGCCGCCGCCGCGCTGCTCAGCCTGCAGCACCTGTACTCCAAGCGCGTCATGCGCGACACGGGCGTGCACCACCTGCGCCTGCTGCAGGCGCTGGGCCGGCTGGCGCTGCTGCTGTTCCTGCCTCTGTGGGCGTGGAGCGACGGCGCGGCGCTGCTGGGCGCGGCGCCGGCGGGCGGCTGGGCGCGCGTGGGCGCGCTGCTGGCGGGCGACGGCGCGCTGGCGTGGCTGCAGGCGGTGCTGGCGTTCAGCGTGCTGTCGCGGGTGTCGCCGCTGGCCTACGCGGTGGCGTCGGCGGCCAAGCGCGCGGCGGTGGTGGGCGCGTCGCTGCTGCTGCTGCGCAACCCGGCGTCGCCGCTGAACGTGGCGGGCATGGCGCTGGCGGCGGGCGGCGTGCTGGCCTACAACCGCGCCAAGCTGCGCGCGCGCGAGCGGCCCGCGCTGCCCGTGTGACCGCGCTGCCCGTGTGACCCGCGCCGCCCGTGTGAACCGCGCCGCGCGCCGCCCCCGCCGGCCCGGTGTGTAGGAAGATTTAGCTATTATTTAGACTTTTCGTCGAACTGTGACGTGACTGACTTTTTTACATACTTTTGTTGAGATTATAAGCTCACAGTGATACTTCGATGTGAATAATTTAATGAAATTGTTTTGTTTAGAGAGCCGATTTTCCTCGACCGATCGTCAGATAACTATTACTGAGACTAGCTGTGGCCGCGACTTCGTACGCATGAAAATATTTTGAATAATATTTCCTGTTTTTGCAACATTTTTCTTTACTACTCCACCCCTATTGGCTCTGGCTGTAGTGTAGGGTGATGTTATACAGGGTGGAATTTTGTAATACCACCTGTAGCCTTATTCACGTAACAAAACTTCAACGACAACAAATCGCTGAATGTGATACGTGAATTAGGCCACTGATGGGAAAATACTCTTAAAAATGTAGATAGAAAATTTTAAGTAAAAAAAAATCATTCCTTTATTATCTAAAAGAAATAGAAAACTGCATTCAAAGATTTTCAGATATTTGCTTGACACACCTGAGAATCAAACCAACTAAAATTGTTAAAAATTACACCCTGTATTTTTATTGCATCGATCGTTAGGGTTAAGCATAAGGATGAAATCTCTAGCAAACATCAAATGACAAAATCATGAAATCTTAAATTATTTTAATTATTTACAGGAAAATTGTATGGTGGGGAATTTTCGGAAATGTTTGAATGCAGTTCTATTCCTTTTCAAAAATAAAGGAATGTTTTCTTTGAGTAAAATTTTCTGAGTACTTTCTCTCCAAGTGGTATTACATAATTCCAGCCTGTATACTACTCTAAACCGTTTATGCTCAGAATGCCAACTTCTCAAAATGCCAACCGCTCGCAAAATGACAACTTCTCAGAATGCCAACTTCTCGAAATGCCAACTTCGCGAAATGCCAACTTCTCAAAATGACAACTTCTCAAAATGCCAACTTCTCGAAATGACAACTTTTCATAATGACAACTTACAAATTATAATGAATGCAGGAGCAGTGAATGCTACCACAAATAATAAAAATAATTAAAAAGTCCATATATTTACAATATCTCAATATCTTTATTTGTTACTATATAATTAATCAATACACTAGGGTCGTATCGCATCAATCTCTCATCTCAAATGTCGATTGAATGACATACACCTATACAGGGTGTTAGGTAAATGGGTATATGAGCCGACACTAGCCCATGTTAACATGGGCATATAAATGGTATAGTGAAGTCAGAAATTTGATATCATTTTTTTTTTTAATTTTCATACAAAATAAATTTTATTAAATCCGATTTGTATGAAAATTAAAATAATTAAAATGAAGATATCAATTTTCTGACTTCACCATACCATTTATATGTCCATGTTAACATGGGCTAGTGTCGGCTCATATACCTATTTTACCTAACATCCTGTATAATAAATTGTTACAATCATTGTCAAAATCAAATAAACAAAAACCAGGTAAGGTCTGTAACAGCAAAACAATTATTTTACTAGATAAATTAACACATTACAAGGGCGATATAGTTTTGACAAGTATAACTTGTGCATTTTTTACAACTACCCTCATAACGTAAATTTTCGCCATACACTAATTTATGATTTAAATTGTACTGTGACCTTATCATACACCATAGTATAATTGTTTTCATTATAATTGTAAGTTGTCATTATGAGAAGTTGTCATTTCGAGAAGTTGGCATTTTGAGAAGTTGTCATTTTGAGAAGTTGGCATTTCGCGAAGTTGGCATTTCGAGAAGTTGACATTCTGAGAAGTTGACATTCTGAGAAGTTGTCATTTTGCGAGCGGTTGGCATTTTGAGAAGTTGGCATTCTGAGCATAAACGCTCTAAACCCATCCTCAAAAAATGGGCTATCCATCCAACACAAAAATATTTTTTCATATTGGACCAGTAGATCCTGAAATTAGCACATTCAAGTAATTACAAACTCTTCAGCTTTATAATATGTATTAATTGATTAATAATAAATAATTAATAATAAGTATACCTAGATAGATTTGACGTATTGGCAGTGTTGTCAGTATTATTGGCTCGCAAGAGTTGAAGTCGTCACTTGTTGTATGTGCTGCGTAGGCTGCCGTCTTGTGCAACAGACTCGATTGCAGACATTCAACAACAGCATGATAGCATAGGTGTATTCGATATTTAAACTCGAATGTGCAGTGTTGTTTGGGTTATGTAAGACAATTGAAGGGATGAGTGGACAAAGGTGTTATCTGACAAAACTGAAGAATCGAACTTTTTTGCATGAACATAGTGATGATAAAATCGACTAATGAGCTCAAAACACGCAATTTTGTTACGTGTCAAACCTTAACAAAGGTGTTATATGACAAGCATTCATACATTTCAGGATTCAAATGTGGTATGAGCAGATTAACATTATCAAACACTCATAACTCATTTTGTTAGGTAAGACCTTTGTTCACTCACCCCTTCAATTTTATTGTTTAGATAAAAGTTATCTGACGATTGAAAAAAAATTGCCCATAATATACAGCGTTATTTGTAAAACATCAGCAACCTCGCAGGATTAGATAACTGTTAGGTCTAGTAGCACTTATCTGAGTCAGTGCACGGGAGATTTTTTTTCAATATCAAATTCAAATGTCAGCAAGACTTATGAATATGTGCTTCGTATGATAGGTCACGTCATTATATCAATGTCACCCAACCCGTGGCTCCCCCTCAGGCACTAAATCAGTTGCATTACACAACTAAACATTACTGTTTCATGTTTTTATTGTACTGATGTGATATTACAGACTCATTTATAAACGAAAGAATGATGCGACATACACTCGCGTGCTCCGAATTCATTTGTTAAGACAAATAACCCTGTATACCCATAAAATGGGGTTACCTCCGGCATATCGAGTAACAAATGATTCAAAAAACGCCCTTTTATCTCCATCAGTCGGAATCTCTCAGTTGTTGAAATAGAAATGCTATTTTTAATTCAGTAAATAACTGTCCAATAACTTTCTTAAGTGTCCAATGACTGGCAGTTTACCCTAGCGGAGGTAACCCCATAAAATGACGTGAAACAGACACAAATATTGAAATAATATTATGTTCAAATGATGAGCATAAATTATTATTATTCAATTGATTGTTTTCGATAACAGTAATAATTTATTTGATAGTGTTGTAGCAAGTATTTTATGATGTTATTAAAAAGATGAGATGTGGCTGAGCCACCAGTTATTTTTTGTGAATATAAAATGTTTTATGTTTAAAGATAGTTTTATTTCGATATAAAATTTACAAATCCTTTCATCTTGTATGTCTGTTACTCTAAAGCACGTAAACCAGTGAATCTTAAGTTTTACTAGTAAATCATAGGATTTCTAACTTGATGACCTTGTAAATATAAGAAATGAGAGATAAATGAGCTGGTAGGGCAAAAAAAGAATGAGACATTCACATAATATAGGCTGCTTAAAAGCATTTGACGATTTGTAAGTACTAATTTAATTAGTCTAAAACAAATAAAGATAATTTTGATTTTGAAAGAATTTTTCACGCAATGTCGCAGGCAATAGCTAGTATTATACATTGAAAACCGATATAATTATTATATGCATGTACGAATCTTACGAATACGAATATCTGTATCCGTGCAGGGATCGAACCCGCGAATGTATTTCCATGAACGTCAGGATGACACATTAATCTCTATCTTTGGTGAAATATATTCTAAAACAACTATATCTAATGGTACCGGTAAATGTAACCAGTTAAAGTAAGCATATTGTTTGAGTTACCCAAAGTAGTCAACATAATGTTTGCAACACTGTTCTCAAAAATCGAGTGTTGCTAACATAAATATCGACTACTTAGAGTGCCTTAAACTTGACTGGTTACATGTATGAAATATGTATTGAATTATCAGAGGTGGCATTGTGTAAAGCAATCGTAATCATTTGTCAGTTCATAACGTACGATAAAGTCAGTAAAAGCGTTAGAATAATCGTACGTTATGAGCTGTCAAATGATAACTATTGCTTTACACAATTCCACCTCAATCATTTTGGCGATCTTAGACGCTTCGCTTCGATCTATCTGACGCTGACTGTACAGCTACCATTCCAATTACTACATGTGATATATCATTGGAAAGAAGAGAAGCTAGAGATGCTTTGAAGATCATTGGCAATCCATTATCACCTTCAATTATTTTTGAAATCGAATTCTAAGTTGAATTTTTCATCGTGGTTTGTACTTTTGTTAAACTTTGGCGGCTCGTAACTAGCTATTTAATCATTATCTGGATCTGAAATTTATTTTATTTAACTAAAGACATTCAATATTATTAACAAATAAAAAAAATAGTTTGAAAACACGCGAGAAAAAAATAATTAAGCAGTTTTCAGGTCAAATTTCGGAAAAAAATAAATAAAAACAAAAATATCAATTAAAAAAAAGTAGCTCACTTAGGGTGAAATGGGCGAACTTGTATTCTTAAAATGACCTTACCTATACACCTACGAAGTTTGTTTAACCTTACGCCGAACACCCTGTATATTATTATATAACTCAAAGGTGACTGACTGACTGACATAGTGATCTATCAACGCACAGCCCAAACCACTGGACGGATCGGGCTGAAATTCGGCATGCAGGTAGATTTAATGACGTAGGCATCCACTCTCAAATGATTTTAAACTCCGCCCCTAAGGGAGTAAAACGGGATCCACGCGTACGAAGTCGCGGGCGGCCGCTAGTGGTAATATAAGTCAGTTAGCTCGTCATCCGTCAGAGTTGTTAATTTAATTTATAAGAAATATACTGTGAGCGCCCGCGCGTTTTAGCAGAGGTTCTTAAAATATATATTATTATATGTATATGACTACAGGTCATAGTTATCGGCGAGTCGATTCAATGTGGATATTCAAATTCAGGTCTCGACAAACACACCAGGGAAAGCGAGAGAGAAAAGAAAAATATGGTTTAATAAATATAATTTATTTACATTACATAAAACCGCGTCACGCGTCACATTTTCATCATACCAAAACGCACACACGCGCACTCATCCACCGAATATAAACGTAAATGCAGGAAGGAGCGCCACGACCACGCGCTCGAATTTCAGTACGGTCCCTAAAAATTAACCTAGTTCGATACCTCCTCCGTGCTTACAGCTCGTCGTGGTCCTCGGCCGGCACGTCCTCTGCGTCGGCGTCGGCGTCGGCGTCGGCGGGCGCGGGCTCGTCGTCGGGCTCGGGCTCGGCGCGCGCGCCCGGCGGCAGCCCCAGCGCCGCCTGCAGCATCGCCTCCACGCTCTCCGCGAACTGCACCGCCTGCCCCTCCTGCAGCATGTAGCCCGACCTGCGCACACGCGAGCGTCAGCGGCGTCCGTCCCACCTCCCACCCCACACCCCGCCCGGCACTCACCTCAGCGCGGCCGTGCGGTACAGCGTCTCGGCGGCCTGCAGCGCGGCGGCGCCGTCGGGGTCGTCGGTCACGCGGCGCAGCAGCTCCGCGACCACGGGGTGGCGCGGGTTGATCTCCAGCAGCTTCTTCTGCATCAGGTGGTGCTTGCGCTGCGCGTCGTCCGCCTGCGGACAGAGAGCGCGGGTGAGCGACGCGTCGGACGGACGGCCGGGGCGGGCGAGCGCGCCGCTACCTTCTGGTGCGCGTTGGAGAGCGCCAGGCGCTCCATGTTGCCGGTCCAGCCGAAGGCGGTGGCGGCGAGCGCGGCGGGCGAGCGCGCGAGGCGGCGCGACACGACGGCGCGCGTGATGTGCGCGTCCAGCTTCTGCGCCAGCCAGCGCGTCAGCGGCTCATACTGCTTCTTGTGCGCCTCGAACTGCTCCTTCTGCGCGGGGCCTGCCGGGGCGAGAAACGGACGAAAGTCAATTCATATCGCGGCGCGACGTTTCTCGATAACAAATAAAATTATAATAAAAAAATAACTTGATTAAAAACAAGCTTTATCCTGCACCAAAGTTCTCGGGAAGTCGAATCTAATGAACCCAAACTCGATAAGTTTCCGCCGTTTCGTTTAGGAGCTCCTATGGCCACCTCCTGACTCCATCATCAGACCAGCTCAATGGTACCATAACATTGTATTGTCATCGTACTTACATAAGTACACCAAATTGCAACTCAATCGGTTGAGAAGTGGTCTTAAATTCAATTGCAAGATTTGTCCCACACATACTAACAAGTGAAGTCAATATAAAGCTTGTAATAATAATAATAAAAAACGAAGCGAATCTCACTGTCTTCGAGGTCGAAGATCTCCTTGGCGATGTTCTGGAACTTCTTGCCGTCGTACTCGGGCAGCGAGGACAGGCAGTACTCGTCCACGGCCTCGGTGAGGTACAGCACCTCGTAGCCGCGCGCCTCGAGCCGCTCGGCGAAGGGCGAGCGCCGCACCTCGGCCAGGCTGGTGCCGGCCACGTAGTAGATGTGCGCCTGGCCGGGCCGCATGCGCGCCACGTAGTCGGCCAGGAACGTCATGTCGTCGCCGCGCGACGAGTGGAAGCGCAGCAGCTTGGCCAGGCGCGAGCGGTTGCTGGGGTCCTCCATCACGCCCAGCTTGATGCTGCGGGGGAACGGACTCGTTTGGTTATCGTCGAATCGAATCTATTCAAGTGACGAAGGATGAAACGCACGAACGGTCGTTGTTTATGCACTTTTTGAGTCGTTCGAGCTCGTGAACGTCGGTTGAACGTTATTAATCGCTCAGATACCGCGAATTCCTGTAACAAAACAGCAGAAAAAAAAAACAAGCGGTCGCACTGACTTGGTGGAGTACTCCTTCCAGAAGTGCGGGTATTCGTCGTCAGGGATCTTCTTGAGCATGTCGAGCGCCTTGCGCACGAGCTTCTTCTTGATGATCTTGATGAGCTTGTGCTGCTGCAGCGTCTCGCGCGACACGTTGAGCGGCAGGTCGTCGCTGTCCACGATGCCCTGCAACACGCGCGCCGCGTCAGTTCCGCGACCGAGACTTTCCAGAAACGATTAAACTTCACGGCCTCGTCGGGTTTCGGACGAAGCGGCGAAGTTCGAAAAGAGGACCGACCTGGATGAAGGCGAGGTAGTTGGGCATGAGGTCGTTGAACTCGTCGGTGATGAAGACGCGGCGCACGTAGAGCTTGATGCTGTCGGTGCTGGTGCCGTAGCGGTTGAAGCTGTCGGCGGGCTGCACGCGCGGCACGAACAGCAGCGCGCGGAACGTCACCTCGCCCTCCGCCACGAAGTGCGCCCTGCAACAGCCACACACGCGGTCACTCAGCACCGCCCCGAGTGCGCAAAATTTCAGATTCTCTTTAGTATAATCTTTTTTTTATATTGAGATTCCAACTTTGAATTCGATGAAATTAAAAAAAAAATTAAAGACTGTAGAGTAGAAGTACAAGTTTATTCATGCGACTTCTTAAGAAGCGCTCGTACGACTCCCACTCGTGAGTCTCGACATGAGGTCGTTGTACCCACCTGGCGAGCGGCGGCGACGAGTCCTTGGTGAGCGTGCGGTAGAAGGAGGTGTACTCGTCGTCGGCCACGTCGCTGGGCTTGCGCGTCCAGATGGGCTTGTTGTCGTTCATGAGCTCCCAGTCCCACACGGTCTTCTCGGTCTTCTTGGTCTCCTTGTCCTTGTCCTCGGCGTCCTCCACCTGCGCGTCGTCGTCGGCGTCGGCCTCGAGCTCGGCCGGCTCCTCAACGGTCTCGGTGCGCGAGGCCCACAGGTAGATGGGGAAGTTGATGAACTGCGAGTACTTCTTGACCAGCGCGCGGATGGTGTCGGGCTGCAGGTAGTCGGCCGCCTCCTCCTTCATGTGCAGGCTGCGGGCGCGAGGGCGAGGGTTACAAACGACTCAACGCGGTGTACTTTTATTAGAAACTAAATAAAATAAACTCTTCAGGTTTATAATATTAATAAAAGTATAGATATAAAACAATGATAGATTGTATAAAGTGTAAGGTTAGAGCTTCCCCGTTGTGGCTTCGATGAGGTGGTACTCACGTGATGTGCGTGCCGCGCTTGAGCGTGTCGCCGCGCGGGTCGGGCGCCACGCTGAAGGAGCTGGCGTCGGACTCCCAGAAGTGCTGCGCGTCGTCGTTGTGCTTGGACGCCACCGACACCTTGTCGGCCACCAGGAAGGCGGAGTAGAAGCCCACGCCGAACTGGCCGATCATGTCGTTCATCTCCTGCGCGTTCGACTGCGGACACAAGCGCGGGACGTCAGGCGGGGCGGGCCGGGCGGGGCGGGGAGGGGGCGGGGGCGGCGCGTACCTTCTCGGCGTCCTGCATCTTGGAGAGGAAGTCGGCGGTGCCGGACTTGGCGATGGTGCCGAGGTTGTTGACGAGGTCGTGGCGCGTCATGCCCACGCCCGAGTCCACGATGTGCAGCAGGCGGCGCTCGGGCTCGGCCTTGATGCGGATGCTGAGCTCGGGGTTGCGCTCCAGCACGTCGCGGTCCGTCAGCGACAGCAGCCGGATCTTGTCCAGCGCGTCCGAGCCGTTCGAGATCAACTCGCGGAGGAAGATCTGCGTCAAACGGTCGAGTCAGTTAGATCGGTGCCGAAGTCGCGGCGCTCGGACGCGAGCCGGTGGCGGGCGAGACGTACCTCCTTGTTCTTGTAGAGCGAGTTGATGATGAGCTTCATCATGCGGTTGACCTCGGTCTGGAAGGTGAAGTTCTGCGCGCGGTCGCGCAGCTCGCGCAGCTGCGCCACGCTGAGCCCGTCCGGCGAGATGGCCTCCTCCTCGCGCAGCAGCGCCTCCGCGTCTGCGGCACGCACGCAACGACTCTGTTATACTTGTTGACGCCCGCGCCCTCCGCCAAGCGGCGTAACCAAATATTTACTTTTTGAACAATGTTGCAGCAGGACGAGGTCCAGGCGCGGATCCACGGTTGTGGGCACTGTGGGCATGCCCAAAACCCTAATTTGCTTGTTTTTATTATGATCTATTGATAAGATCGATAGGCATGCATGTATGTCCGGGCATGTAGTGATCCAACTCTCACTTTGCTCATTTTTGGTGGCTGTGCCCACAACCTTTTTTAACGGCTGGATCCGCGCCTGACGAGGTCCCACACTAAGAGGATATCTAGTGGGCCACCACGCCTAACCTGACATATTTAAAAATCGAAAAAAGGCTTGCAATAATTATTGAAAAAATAAAAATGAAATGACTAATTAATAACGTTCACGTCACTATAAGCTAAAACTATAAATCGTGTTATGAATTATGTGTAAAATACAATGAAATGTGTCGTAGCAGACTACATACATTTAAATGTCGCCATGAAACGTATTTCATGCCTGAACCAATGAATATGACATTAATAATAACATCAATGATGCAATTAATCAGTACATCCAAATCGCACGCGCGTAATCATGTATTAACAGTTAATTAATAAACACATCAAAGTTTGGAGCGTGGGTATCGATCAATCATTCCCGTCGCCACAGTTATCATTAGCAACTGACTGATGTTTGCGCGGTTTGGGTGGTTAATAAATCTGTATCGTTCGAGCGGCACTCGCACTCGTTTACAAATCGATCCTGAAAAGTGTGGTTCGCCCTGTTTCAATTCTGTCGTCGGAGAGTGTAAAGGCGGTGTGCAGAATCTGAACATCAGTGCAAGGATGTCGGATACGGAAGGAGCCAGCCCGGCGGCGGGTGCGGCGGCGGGGTCGGCGGCGGCGGGGTCGGCGGCGGCGGCGGGCGCGGACGGCGGCGGGCGGGTGCTGCACGCGCGCTCGTTCAAGCTGCGGTTCGCGGCGCAGCAGGAGCCCGGCCGCTCCGACGTGTCGTCTGTCAAGCCTCTGGGCCTACGTTCGTATCGAGAGCGTCGCCGGATGCTCGGTCATCGTAGCCGACTAGTTTTTCAACGATTCACAATATGAATGAAATATCGTTTGCAGCGGCGACGGTGACGGACAAGTTCTACCGGCGCTCGGAGCCGGACGGCGTGGAGGCGGAGCGCACGGAGCGCGCGCTGGCGCGGCTTCGCGGGCTGTTCGCGCGCGGGCCCCGCGACAAGCTGCGCGCGCCCGCCACCGCCGCGCACGAGTGAGGCCGCTTCCACTACGCCGGACCGGTTGAACTCCCGGAAGGGCTAGTGACTGTACAATTTATATGAAACTATTCACGTTATCCCAGATCCCGCTTTTTGCCGGGCCCGGCATTTTTACCGAGCGTTTTGTCACTGCGAAGTTCCGGCAGAACCACCGGACCGGAGCAGTGTGAACGAGTTTGTGCGGTATCGGTCGCCCCGCCCGTGCTCCCCGCGCGTCATTCGGCTCGCATTTTTTGATAAAAGTAGACTTGAATGTCCGATTTTCTTGCGGGATCCAGTGTAATGTGACCATTCTGTCCGGCGTCCGGCAGATTTGCCGGAAACCAGACCGGAAGTCCGGAATAGTGGAAATGCCTTTTCTTTTCTACTTTCTGGCTCTGGAACGCAGCCTAACTACCGCCGCTGAGGCTCACGTGACCGTTCAGTGCCGGTGCACTGACATGTGACAGTGACATTATCCCGGTGGATACGACCTATCTTAAGATAGATTGCTTTTTCAAATACAGCGTAAACTCTTTATAATGTCACTTGATTTGACGACAAACTCCTTATAAAATCAAATTTTCTTGACTTTACCTTGTTTTCTATCCCCTAAACTGTGTTGCTCCATTTCAAGTCCACTCACTATTAAATCCAATGAGTGTCATTATATAGAGTTTAACTGTAATTATGATTCTGTGCTTCTGTTAATAAATTTTAAAAATAAACCACACTGTTTTGGCAGATATGGATGGTGGTGGAAAGAGGCATCCAAAATATCGTCCGCTTCTTTTAGCGACAGAAGACTAAACCACCACATCCAAGACTCGGCCTGGCTCAAGGCGCGCCTCCTCGTGCTAGCCGCCGATGACAAGCTCAAGCAGAAATGAATGTCCGACCGAAAAGATCCATGTTCGACCAATAAATGGCAACTATGTTATCACATAATCTTATGGGTATTATGATAGTTAAGTAAGCAAGATTGATAACAGTTTAAAATATCGAATAAAGTGGTGTTTTTGACTTAAATCACATTTTGACTTTGTTTAAAAGTCCCACACAAACAAACCAAATTTAAAAAAAAATGAGGTGAACTGAAGTAAACTCATAAGTCGAGTTGTTAATGATCCTAAAGATCATTCTGGGAGTGGGTAGTCAATGCGAAAAAACGCTCAACGGTTGGAATGTGCAGGTGTCAAAATGTCCATACGGACCGGCTGTTAGTGTGGCAAAAAGTATGTACGTCAAAAAGTCCCAGTGTCAAAATGTACATTATTACCATGGTTACAATGGTTTAGTGACAAATGGTACACATCACAAAATACAAGTACAACAAAAGGTGTGATAGATAAAATGATCAACTGATATATTGTGCTCATGATTAAATTAATAAAATTAAATGTCAAAATGTTCAATGTTCTTGTAGTCCAGTCAATAAAGAGTTTTGACACCTGCACATTCCAACCGTTGAGCGTTTTTTCGCATTGACTACCCACTCCCAGAATGCTAAAGATGAATGTCGAGATAAGTATTATTTTCTGTCAACTTCAGCAGCGGTTCAGTTGTAGACAGACTAAAGCTCACCAGTCCGCGAGCCCTCGCGCGAGGCGCCCAGGTCGGCGTCCACCGTCAGCTCCTCCACCGAGCCCACGCCCTCCTGGCCGCGCGCGCCTCCTGCAACAACACCACCGCGCGTTATGGAACTGCTGCTTCGAACACCTACAACTTTCACAGCCTACAGCTACTGAAAAAACTTTACGGGTATTTTGATTGAATAGGTACCCACCTACTACGTTGTGTGTCAAAGAAAGTTCTAGCTTCAGCGCAGTCCACTTACTTAATGATAGTTTATCAGGTGGGTGCAAAGGAATAGTGAGTTTAACGATCCGGTAGGTGACCGACTTCCGAAACTTAATATTGTTGTCACACAAAGCTTTTGAGTTGAATCATTGAACTCGATTCGAACCGGAGCATAAAAAAAATATCAAATTCATGGCAACTACTTTTTCTGTACGTAAATGAACAAAAAATATAGAAATCCTTTACCTGAGAGAAACAGGAGGCCGACGCCTAGCAATAAAAAGTATTTCATTGCTAGTTATTTGGGAGAAACAATATTTTTAACGAAGATTTTGTCACCTCCTGACAATGCCGGTTTGAAAACTGTCTAAAAATGCTGGACCACGCTCAGCAATATCCACGCAAGAAATTTCTGAAGTTTATTGCTATTGGTAGTTGAAATGTCAAAACGTCTGAATAACCAATAGTAAAAATACACGGCATAACGTTTGACAAATAGTAGATAAAATAATACAAATGTCTCTTTCTTATTGGTCTAAAATGTGGGTGGAAATAAGACAAGGAAATACTTATTTTTTTAGGTGCAAGTTTTATACGGCTTTGGATCTCATCTATTCAGCCAAATAATAAGTTTGATAAAGATAATACTAAATCAAATTGATGGATGGTGACATGGGAATCACATAATAATTATTCTAAAAACCGGCCAAGTGCGTGTCGGACTCACTCAAAGGGTTCCGTACGATTGATTTATGATTTTTTTTTTAATTTATGTTATTTGTATGAAAGATTGCGCGGTAATTAGCGATTTACGATTTACGAGGTATTAAAAAAAACTACTTACTAGATCTCGTTCAAAACAATTTTCGTTGGTAGTTTTTATAGTAATGTACATCATTATTATGTTTTTATTAGATTTTTCTTTTTCTTATTTTAGAAGTTAGAGGCGGGGGACCAACTTTTTTCCACTTTGGAAGCGTCTGTCACGCAAACTATTCGGTTTAGAAAAAAAATATTTTTAAAAAAAAAATATGTTTAAAAAAAAAAACCTCGATATCATTTTTGAATACCTATCCATAGATACCCCACCACACGAATGTTAGATGAAAAAAAAATTTTTGAGCTTCAGTTTTAAGTATGGGGAGCCCCCAATATTTTTTTTTATTTTTGCATCAAAATCTTAATGCGGTTCACAGAATACATCTACCTACCAAGTTTTAACAGTATAGCTCTTAAAGTTTCGGAAAAAAATGGCTGTGACATACATACAGACGGACAGACAGACATGACGAATCTAGTATAAGGGTTCCGTTTTTTGCCATTTGGCTACGGAATCCTAAAAATCGTAGTAAAGTCTATTCGCTAACTGGTGCAAGACTGTTGTCTTATGTATGGCCCATAAGGTAGTCTTGCACCATTTAAGTGGCGATCATAGCAAACGAATGATAGGAATAGAGACAATATGAGATTTTTGGTTTTACAGAAGGTAATACGATAGCATAGTAGAGGAATTAATTCCTCTATGTACGATAGAGAAAAATACAAAGTAATTAATAAAAACCACCTGTAATAGGGGCATTATTTGGAGAAATTTATCTAATAATAAAAAAAACACAAAATAAAATGATTTTACTTCTCAAAAATAACATTTTGTTGCCGTTTTCAGGGTATTTTATGTATTTTATTAGTATCACATTCATACATGATCTTTACAATAAGTAATTAAAAGAAAAAAAATCTGTATATTGTAAAAAAAAATCTTTTTTCCTTCGATAAAAATGTTTTAGTTTCACCCATTTTCATTATGTGCACTTTATCAAGCGAAACTCACAGGGCTTCTCCACTCCACTATTTAGTATCTCATTGCGTTGCTCTCATATCATTTATTTTTAATCGTTTTTTGTGCTTTCTTTGCACAGATATCCATATCTGTGTTTCTTTGGAAGGTTGTTTAAAAAGTAAAAAGTCAATGTTTGAAGTTGACATGTGACATGTCATTTTGTAAATAATGTTTACTCATGTAATCATGTAAATATAGTTTGCAGTTATTTAATTTAGCTCTAAAAGAACGAAGAATTCAGGATTTTAAGCAGCCAGGAATAGGGCATGCATTGTAATCTCTCATCAGAAATATGACTAACAACAGTTCACCGCATACGGTTACCTCTCGACGTCGAATCGTTTACCGACAAAGTGGATGGCGAGTTCACCAATTCAAAATACTCAGCGGTGAAGTGGTATGCAGAGTGGCAGTGTTGCGAATGGAGGGGTCACTGCTTTTATGGTTAGGCAACGGTAGTGGGAAAGCTGAACTCAACGAAATAGCCCTGGGCATGCCGGCCATCGCTAATGGTACGGCGGGGCGCGCGGGCTTAGCCTCGACTCTTCTCGGCGTGGAAGGACCTGCAACGGCCATGGCTCGACGATTGACAGCTCTGTTAAAACGGCCAGTGTATGTTTGTGCAGGTAGTGAATTTGATAGATTCACTATACCAATTGTGGAACGTGGACTAATAGCTGAGATTAAAAACAAGCCAGACTATTTTTGAAACTGGCTTTTTATCTATGAATAAGCTTTTAATGTGAAATAACATTTGGTCTATTCCACTTTGTTCACCTGGATTTGATCACCCAGGTAATCAAAGTGGACTCCAGGCGACACTGGTGTCCTTTGAGTTTGTTGAGGAGTTCACTTTGATGACACGGGTGATCAAACCCAGGTGATCAGAGTGCAATAGACCAAAATATGGATAAGATAATTTGTTCTTTTAATAAATTGCAGTTTTAAGATCATTATGTTACCCTAAATTGTGCAAATAAATATTTCAATTTGAAAACAATTACAGTCAAGTTATTTAATTTACTGTGTTATCATTTTACATAATGTTTGTACATTGTTTGGCAATAATATTTTAAATTTGCTAAATCTAGATAATATGTTTTAGAAATGATTAGTGCTTTAAGTTTCATTAGTTCTCATACATCTATTTCTGATAGAATTAAATCCTACAATGTGTTACGATTAGATTAGAACTCAAAAAGGCTTGTATGAATACAGTGTCAACTCTATAACATCACTCAATTTAACAACAAACTTTAAAAATGTCAAAATTTCTTGACTTTGGTCAGTTTCTTAACCCACTTGTTACTAGCGTTCTTTTAAAAGAACGCTAGTTTTTACATAAATATTTTTACTAATATGGGTAGTTTAAACATTTTTTACATGCAACATTTGAAAGATGAGGTGTGTCGCAGTACTGTCCAAGTCTTATAAGTACACTGACGTAAATAACTATAAAGTTTTGGAGCGATTCTTTTGAGATAAATTTATCTTGACTGATTTTAAGGTAAGTGATAGAAAAAGTGAACTCCGTAACAAGTGGGTTAATAATAACGATATCTCAACATTCATGGAAATACTATCTTACTACTATAAAATATAATTAGAGTTGTTTTATTTTTAACATTCAAATTATTTATTTATTTTTATTAGCATTTTTGTCCTCTGAAAATCTGTTGTCCTCTAAATTAATAAGTCAGCCACAATCAACACAATTTCAGCCACTATTTATCTTTGATGTTAGCCCCTGTAAATATAACTTAGCATGGAAAAAAATATTTAGCATCTAAATGTAACTTAAATTCAAGCAGAAAACTTCTCAAATAAATTATAAATGCCACCAATTAAAAAACTGTATTGCCATCTAATTTTGTAACTCGGCGTCTTTAAAAATTAGTGAAACATCAAAATTTATGACTCGCCCTTATATTCTTTGATCATCAAAATTTACACCTCAACAAAAATTGCCCAAGTGCGTGTCGTGCCACGCACAGTGTAGGGTTCCGTAGCTGTCCGTCATTACCACAATATATTTTTAGAAGCAAGCAATTACTTCATCTAAAGTCACTTTTCATATTTTCTTCTAAGAAATGTTTACCAGTTAAGAAATATTATAATACATGCATGAGACAAATGACTATTACTCTTAAACTAACTGTGCCTCTACCATGAGTTTACCTACCGAGCATCTCGCTATCGAGGGCGTAAAAAAATGTATGGCAAATTGTACAGCGCCTCTAGCGGTTAGTAGCTGAACCACAGCAAAACTAAAAACACTACCATGAGTTCATCTCAAATCGTTAGGTAAAAAACCTATCTATCAGGGTACGGAAACTTCCATACAACGGTCATCGAAGTGAAACTTGCTTCCAAACAGCGACATCGGTGAATAAATTCAAATACTTTTTAACTACCCTAAAACGCTCTAGATGTCGCTGCTCCTGTTTCCTTCATATTTTAATTTTTTTCTTAATTAAAATATATTTGAGAATATTGTTAATTACAATGTGAAAACTTTTTTTAAATGAAATTAATTTGTTTTAATTTAAAACTGAACGGTGACATTTTTTGTTACAATTTACATAATAGAGTAGTAGAAATTACTATTTAACATATGGCAACTTTGTTTTTCCTCCAAAATGGCCGGTGTTGTTTTTGTTAAGCTAAATGCATTGAAATGCATTCTTGTTGCTGTTCTGGTTCATCGGAGTTTTGTTCGTTCCTTCGTGAATCGTGAAGAAACTTTCTGTTATGTTCACAAGTGATCTGAGTTTTCTCAATGTGCAAATGCTTTTTTAGTGTTGTTGAAAACTTTGCGAAAAGACGCTTTTGGTGTATAATATTATGTGTGTTCATAAATAAAGTAAAATTATTAAATTCAAAAGTTTTTGTTTACTTATTTGCATTTCCATGTGCAATGTAGAATTTTTCCAAATACATTGTTTTGAAAATACGTACACCATAAAGATAAATACATATTTTCAAAATAATGGATTTGAAAAAATTCTACATTGTACATCATAAAAACAATAATTCTTTGAAGGTTATGAGGGCCTATGTGTGCGTGAACTGTGTGTATGTGTGCGTGGACTTTATGTATGTATGTGTGCGTGTACTATGTATGTATGTGAGCGTTACGTACGTAGGTTAAGTACAGGGAATTTAACACCAGGCTGTCAATTAGTAGGTTCAAAAATTTGACAGAGAGGGTTCTCTATTTCCTATGTATTACTTTTCTCTATGCTATCTATAGTCCGATTTTTAATTCGACGGAATTCTGACAGCTGTCATTTTTTGACAATTCAGATGTAATAAGCCTTTTTTGCTTTGAATTAATAATAAATAATATGAAATGAAATTTCATCAAGTACAACTTACAAGAAAGAACTATTGTTTGTATTGTGAATTCAATGTACACTAATTATTATGTACATTTTAGAGATTAAATAGAAAAAAACGTGTTTTTAACACAGTAAAACAACATCCCAACTAATATTATAAATGCGAAAGTAACTCTGTCTGTCTGTCTGTCTGTCTGTCTGTCTGTC